GCGAGCGACCGCCTCCGTGACCCGTTTAAGGGCAAGGTAGGCGGCAGGCTCGCAGCTCGCTTGGTCCGTCCCCTCCTCGTGCACATTCCTGAGCAGCTAGCTTTGTAGGTGCTCATCATATGCAGGGCGGAGGCTGCCTGTCACGCCGCTCTACAGAATCGCGTCGCCATAGACGACGAGAACCCATAGGCTTTGGAGGGGCATCTGAGAGCAACCGCCGGTTGACCGGGGGAGCCCCAGCGTACCCACAGACAGCCGCATCGCCGAGGGGAGGAAGGGCGGGGAACTGAAGCACGCTTTTTTTTTTTTTATTATTATTATTTTTATTTATTTATTTATTTATTTTTTAGTGCGTGTCAGTTCCGCATGCAACTCGGGGAAAAAAAGGAAATTGGGGTTGGCCGTGGCCGTAAGGCGGCAGCGTTACCCAAAAACCAATTATCCAGCCGCGAGAGATCGGGATAGGGCGGAGTTCCACCCCCACCCGATGCTCACGGAGGCCCGAGATAGCACGGCCATCATCGCGGGATCAGACACGGCGACGCCGACGCTCCCGAGGGAGGCAACGCGGCCGCATCCTCACTTCCCGAGGAGTCAAGCCCGCCTTGTGATGCTGCGATCGTCATCGCATCATTCTCTGGAGCGCCGAGCGAAACAGACGGTACCTCAGAGAGGCAGACGTCTGAAGCGATACAGCGCTCACTGGCTTGAACACTGAGCGGTGGGTGTGACCCGAGGAACTAACGTCGGGGTTTTTTGTCACACATTCACCGTCATATCACCCTATCCGCGAGTCGAACAGCTTCTATTTTAAGAAGCAGAACGAGTAACGGACACGGGGACTCTCACTATCAGATCATTGAGTCTCGATCACAGTGTAGAGATGCTCATGTTCCCATTCAGAAGGAACATGAAACATCCGCGAACGCTGCTCTGCATGCTGAAGCCCAGGCACACACAGAGCAGCGATCGCGACCATCAGAGAATGACATGAGACGAACGCACCCAGAAGAACACGGGCGAGTCGTCTTTAAAAAGACGTGCCGCACTCTTTCAGCGCTGAGGCGACCAGGGAGAAGCGCAAAGTCTGGCAGACCACTGCTCAGATCGCAGGCAATGCAGAGTCTCGCTGGGTACCGCCGTCACACCAACACTGAAGAGGACGCTCGTCTCGAAGAGCCTTGAACAGTGAGAATGGCTTTCAGGAGTGAAGAGTTCTCTTGGCTCCGAAGCGAAAACATACTGCGGTTGCGTTCACTTCCTCCTTTTATACTCACGGAGTAGGGCGGAGTACGCTATGCAAATTTCCGCAGCCCCAAGGCATTGCATGCCATTGGCTCGTTTTTAAATACTCGAAGAGGATTGGCTTTCTTTGCGAAACCCCCAATCTCCGTCACTTCTGACGTAACTCGAAGTGACTACGAAAGGGAACTTAATTTCTTTTTGACTGAAGAAATAAAGGGTGGGTAAATTATCGGGGCATTTTAATTCTGAAGTGAACTAATTCTTTAAATGTGCCATAATTTAAAACATTTACACCATTAAATTGCTCTATGATACTGTTAGTTATCAATAGTTGTCATATAATTATCTATTGAAAGAGTAGAACATTTTTCTCATTTTGCCTGCTTTTCATGTATTTGTCGGGCATAGTGTGGAGATTGTAAACAGTTTATTAAATACTTTGATTAAATTTTGGCCCTGTTCAGTAGATTTTATTATCTATGTACTGTAGATATAAAACTTGTATGATGCTAATTATTCATGGTTTTGTTTGCTTCCAGGTTGTGCGGTTTGCAGCACAACAAAATCAACTGTCATCCTCACAGAAAAAATGAGTGTCCACATCTGAGGAGTGGCTGTACTTTAAGATCCAGTCCTCAAATGCAAACTTGGCCTCTTTTAAGGAACAAGATATGACCACATGAGACAATCAGGGCTAATGACGGCCATGAGACTTAGACCTGAGTGCAAAAATGGAGGCTCTAGCCCCTTCCAGAGCTGAGATATCGAAACTCAAAAATTCGGCCCGAAAAAAAAAACGACAGTGGTATCCCTTACGTTTTTTTTTTGGGCGAAAAATTAAGTTTCTCCAATCTTCCCAAATTCTGATAGAGGGCCATGAGACTTAGACCTGAGTGCAAAAATGGAGGCTCTAGCCCCTTCCAGAGCTGAGATATCGAAACTCAAAAATTCGGCCCGAAAAAAAAACGACAGTGGTACCCCTTACGTTTTTTTTTTGGGGCGAAAAATTAAGTTTCTCCAATCTTCCCAAATTCTGATAGAGGGTCATGAGACTTAGACCTGAGTGCAAAAATGGAGGCTCTAGCCCCTTCCAGAGCTGAGATATCGAAACTCAAAAATTCGGCCCGAAAAAAAACGACAGTGGTACAGTGGTACCCCTTAAATTACGTTTTTTTTTTGGGCGAAAAATTAAGTTTCTCCAATCTTCCCAAACTCTGGATTCTGATAGAGGGCCATGAGACTTAGACCTGAGTGCAAAAATGGAGGCTCTAGCCCCTTCCAGAGCTGAGATATCGAAACTCAAAAATTCGGCCCGAAAAAAAAACGACAGTGGTACCCCTTACGTTTTTTTTTTGGGCGAAAAATTAAGTTTCTCCAATCTTCCCAAATTCTGATAGAGGGCCATGAGACTTAGACCTGAGTGCAAAAATGGAGGCTCTAGCCCCTTCCAGAGCTGAGATATCGAAACTCAAAAATTCGGCCCGAAAAAAAAACGACAGTGGTACCCCTTACGTTTTTTTTTGGGCGAAAAATTAAGTTTCTCCAATCTTCCCAAATTCTGATAGAGGGCCATGAGACTTAGACCTGAGTGCAAAAATGGAGGCTCTAGCCCTTCCAGAGCTGAGATATCGAAACTCAAAAATTCGGCCCGAAAAAAAAACGACAGTGGTACCCTTACGTTTTTTTTTTGGGTGAAAAATTAAGTTTCTCCAATCTTCCCAAATTCTGATAGAGGGCCATGAGACTTAGACCTGAGTGCAAAAATGGAGGCTCTAGCCCCTTCCAGAGCTGAGATATCGAAACTCAAAAATTCGGCCCGAAAAAAAAACGACAGTGGTACCCTTACGTTTTTTTTTTTGGGCGAAAAATTAAGTTTCTCCAATCTTCCCAAATTCTGATAGAGGGCCATGAGACTTAGACCTGAGTGCAAAAATGGAGGCTCTAGCCCCTTCCAGAGCTGAGATATCGAAACTCAAAAATTCGGCCCGAAAAAAAAAACGACAGTGGTACCCCTTACGTTTTTTTTTTGGGCGAAAAATTAAGTTTCTCCAATCTTCCCAAATTCTGATAGAGGGCCATGAGACTTAGACCTGAGTGCAAAAATGGAGGCTCTAGCCCCTTCCAGAGCTGAGATATCGAAACTCAAAAATTCGGCCCGAAAAAAAAAACGACAGTGGTACCCCTTACGTTTTTTTTTTGGGCGAAAAATTAAGTTTCTCCAATCTTCCCAAATTCTGATAGAGGGCCATGAGACTTAGACCTGAGTGCAAAAATGGAGGCTCTAGCCCCTTCCAGAGCTGAGATATCGAAACTCAAAAATTCGGCCCGAAAAAAAAACGACAGTGGTACGTTAAAATACATTAATGACTCCTTATAACGTTCGTCTCTTATAATAAACTGATTTGCGTTTACCCATAAAACTTGCTTTGAATCAATCGGATCGCTTGGGTCCTAAGGTGGGACTCATCTCTTCAGCGGGACTCTTTTTTTTATTTTTATTTTTTTTATTTCCAAAATTATATATTAATACATTAGAAACAACAATTCACATATATTTTCCAAATTATTCCTACGCATCATGCAATATGAAACATTGAAGTTAACATTCTTATCAATGAAATTAAAGAACATTAGGATTAGGCTACATATAAAAAATAAAAAAAGAAACATAACATAACATAAAGGAGGTAGGTATACACAGTATACATATATAGTTACATTAAATAAGAGGAGTTCAATTCTTTGAAGATGTCCATCGTTCTGGTTGCTTTGCGATTTGAGAGACCTTTCAGTGTTTCAAAGTAAATTTTCAAGTCAGGTTTAAAGTGGTAAATGTTATCCTTCCAGACCATTTTTGTATGTAAAATTTGCCAAGAAATAAGATCAAATTTAACATAAAAATGAGACTCTTGTTTATATCTTTTTTTACCATAATAAAAAAAAAACATCTCTTTCTTCAGGGGGACTCATCTCTTTACCACCGGCTCCCTGCACGAGATATATCCAGCTGCAGACCCGCAGCACCACCAGTTTCAGAACCCCAGCGCCAGAACCGGAAGTGAAGGAGGGGCGGAATTATTATTATTGCATTATAATTATTTTAGCAAGCATGTAAGGACAAACTGGGCCTTGAGTTCCTCATTTGATACATTGTAAGTTAAATTTAAACAAAATTGTTGTGATAAAACAGGCTTGGGTTGAATTGGTCCTTATGTATAGATTTTTTACAAAATAATGCCGAATTTTCTCTTTTTTTAGATTTGGTCATTATTTTACACGAAAAATGCATGCTGCACATGTTCTTGTGAAATAAAGTATATTTTATAAAAAAAAATACCCATGCTTTTTTATTTATTTTTTATTAAACAATCAAAATCATCTTACAAATACATCTTCAATATCAAAACAATTTAAGATTTTTGTAAACACAATAAATAAATAAATAAATAAATAAATAGAACATAAAATATCACAGAGGTCTAATGAGTTATCAGATTGTGTATAATTTTGAAAACCTCCAATGATTGTCTTGTTTTATATCTTTCAAAGCTTTATTATACAAAGTTAACTCCTTCATAAAAACCAAAAAACAAAGGTCTTATCTTCCTAAATCTACACGTATGTATAAACTGCTTAGCTAAAATTATTAAACTGTTATACATTAAAATAGAGTCTGGTTGAACCAGGCTACATTAAAATGCCCATAAGTTTCAAGTAGGCTATTATTTTTTTCACCATCATGATCAGGAAGTAACTCGTAATACAATGAAACGAATAACTGAAACTGTATACAATTATTTTACACAAAATCAATGTTTTAAAATGCTTATTGTACAGTAATGTATAGCATCATAACATACGTAGAGAGTAGGACGTTTCTTGTTCAATAAAAGCTGTTTCATGTGTAAAATACCCTCCAAATTACGTTAGGTGGCGTTATTAGGTTTCAAATCTAAGCTCCGCCCCTCAATTACGTTCCTGGCGCTGGTGTTGGTTAGAATCTAACGCCGCCCCTCACTTCCGGTTCTGGCGCTGGGGTTCTGAAACTGGGGTTCTGAAACTGGCAAGTGGTGAAACTGGTGGTGCTGCGGGTCTGCGAAACCGGAAGTGTCCGACCGCACGGTCACGGATCAGAAATCCAAAATGGCGGCCACGTGCAACTAGCATAGAGGCAATTAGCGGAGATGCTCCACTGATGATTGACTGTGTTGCTACTGTTATATCTTTTTTGCAGGTAAGATTACTTGTGTCTATTATAAGTCAAAGGGGTCCACGAACAGTTATGTTTAGTATTTGAGTATTTAGGATTTATGTTAAGTAACGTAAGTTTTGAGCACGAAATTGTTATCACCCGTGGATAGAGCGTGATCAGAAACAACGCGGCAATGAAACTTCGTATGTGAAACGATATTTGGTATTATGCAATGGAGATGGAAAGACAGTATGCACAGTAAAGTTACTGTTATTTAGAGTTTGTGTGATATTGATGGGTAAAATAATAGTTTAAGTGACGCGAGTTCAGTAACACACGTGGAGTTCGCGGGTGTCCGCCATTTTGCGCAAGTTGCATGCAGCGGGGACATTAGAGTTAAAGGGCAACTCCTAGGGCTGTAACGATACACCAAACCCACGATTCGGTTCGTATCACGATTTTTGACCCACGATTCGATTCTAGGGCTGCACGTTTTCAAGTTTTTCATTAACCTTTAACCGAGGCCCTTATCGGTTAATACTCGGTTAACCATGTGCGCACCGCAACCTCGAGATACAAAGTTAATTTTTAACACCTTTAATAACTGGTTGGACCCCCCATTTGAAACGAAATTAATTTATAGAAATAAAACGCAGTGGTAAGTTCAGAGCAGTTAAAGTAGGCGCGTTTCCATCACCCTTTAAACTGAAATTGCATATTGAAAATACGCACATTGGCAACACGTCCATTTCCCAAAAACTCCGTGTCCGCAAATAATAATAATAATCATCATTATTGTCACATTTTATTAGGCTGCATATGTAGAAGACGCTTTTATCCAAAAAAGGAACAAAGCACAAATAAACACAATATTTTGACGCATATCCCGTGTGTGTGCTTAATGTGGAGGATGCGAGACGCCCATGTGAACACTTGCAGTTTCATTGCAGTTCTTTCAGTGGAAACAACTTAAAATACTCTTTCATTTCTGGTCATACAGAAAATAATAATACATTATTCGCAAATACATTTATTTGCGTAAACTCACAATAACAAGAAAACGTTGTGCTTAACAAACAGGCGCGCTTCATGATTTCCGTAAACTGATGCGCGAGAACTGAAACAGCCACCACATTCGAATTTGTTTGTTTTAAATTGGACATTTAAAGCTTTAGGCTTTAAATGTCCAATTTAAAACGAACAATTTCGAATCAAAAGCCAATATCTCCTGACTATGTAATTATGTATCTTAGCTAATTATGTATTTCACTCTAAAGGTGCATCCAGGGATGGAGATTTGTTTTTAGCAGAAACTGATTTAGAAAACAATAATTTATTAATAAACAATTAATGCCTCGTTATTTTACATTATTTTATTATCAGACACATTTATTATATCTTATAAATCATCTATAAATCCCCTTTCTGTAGGCTGTGGTTACGGCTCTTCTCATTCAGCACTGCGGGGAAAATCATTTCCAGGTTCTAATTTGGCCTCAGAAAACCAATATTTTCCATTTTCATTTGTCAAATATTTTAAATGTTTAAAGGGGCAAAAAAATCAAACAAATATCTGAAAATTCGTCGATAGGGCTATATATAGCCTATATATTTTTGCGCAGCATTTGACGTAGTCCTACAGTTCAAATGAACATTTTGGTGTTCAACTCTGCGTTTTACAAAATACAACAACCGCTCATTTTTCGTTTTGCAATTAGGCCTACGGATTAAATAAGGGGAAACAAATGAACACAAAAGTACACTGACCGGACATATACGAGGCAGAGTTCTTTTTTAAAATTCATAAAAGATACAAGGAATAGCCTACTAGACAAAACCTCAAAGAAATGCCACAATCAAGACCGCGGAGCAGAAATGAGGGAGAAACACACAGAAACTCTGACTTTCCCTGCCATTAATGCTTGGATGACACACCACGTCTCCTTCCATAAATAATAATAATGTCTAGTGCGGTGGCTGTGATATACCAACGTCCATTGCCATTATTTTTGGAATGGCTTATCGCGAAGGGGAAAAAAAAACGTTTTAGTCGCATAACACCGTTAATAGAAACGCTGTCATTTCACAATATTTTTTTATCGACAATCAGAAAAAAAAAACGCAAAAGTTTTGTGCAAATATGTATTGACGCCACTTAACCGAGCAAAAACGTTTCACTCAGTTATGCAATTTTAAACGGTTAATCGGTTAATCATGGACACCCCTATTCGATTCGTATCGCGATTCTATCATGGCGGCGGGGCTTGGGGTGAAAAATAGATTTTGAGAGAAAAAAATATACAGGTATTTTTATTAAATAACATTTGGAAAAACGTATAGAATCTGAACACCAAAAAACAATAATAACTATGCAAATTATTAAACTAAACTAGGCAGTGTAGGCTGCTGCTTTTGGGTTGTTTTCTGTGCTCTAACTATATATTTTTTATAAGGCTATACCCTTCTTGTTTTGAACTTCATGCATGTGTATTGCATGTTAAACAAGTATATAATGTAATGATAACAAGACTGTTTTATTTTGGTGATGATGTGTAGCCAGATATATCAGCAGAGCGCGTGCGATTACCTGCGTCTGTCTTTGAAGTCGTGAAAAGGTTCCCAGATTGCACAAGGCTGTTTGATCTCCTATTTACATCTGGAAGACGTATTTTAAAGAGTGTTTGCTCATCTGCAAGACGTCTATAGGATGTTTCCTGCAGATGTCAAATAGACGTTTAGAAGATGTCTCTAAGATGTAATGATTTAGAATGCACGTTAAACTGACATCTTATAAACGTCTATTTGACATCTGACAGGAAACGTCCTATAGACGTCTTGCAGATGAGCAAACACTGTTAAAAATACATCTTCCAGATGTAAACAGGACATCAGATACCCTTGTGCTATCTGGGTTGCCGTGTACCATAATTTTAACGTTCACGTCACAGGTATTTCCCATAAATGTGCGTCAGCAGCAGCGCTGGTCAGCATCCCACAGCACGCGGAGGCCGCGGTGAAATAAAATCACCGAGTCACGCATTGAATCAATGCCATATTGGTCTCTAAGTGAAGCATCAGCTTCAGCGCCATGCGATGCATTGCTGCTCAGCTGAGCCTTGAAAAGTGGAACTCAAAGTTTAAAATAATTAACACCTTCATTACATCTCTTTTTATGAATCTGCTTCTTTGAACGTGTTCGTTGAATGAACGGTTTAATGACTCGCTCAAACGCCGTTGTCATAACAATGTGCACGCTAAGTGAAAGCCTTTCAATGTGCATAGATGCTGTTTAGTTTCGGTTACAGTGGTTACTGAAAATGTCCTCGTTTTTGTCCACATCGTAAACATATTTATATAGCAACAGATACATATAAATAAATGGCGGTAATAGGGCATATCGCGCTATTGAGCCACTCAACATTACCGCAAGGGAAATTCCATAACCGCGACAGCCTTCACAGAAGAACGCGCCAAAGAGAAATGTACTGTTCATACGGATTACATAAGCAGAGAGCGGTCTGTTTTCTTTCTTTTTGAATTGTTCTTTTTAAAAGTAGACATTTCAATGTAAATTTATTATTTCTCAGGTCTATAAGCTTATAGGGTTAAGATTCATGAGACGAGCTCCGGCAGCTCAATGTCGTGATTATCTCTAGGCTAGCTATATTTTCTTCTTATTTATTAAATCCAGGAAATTGGTTGATGAAACATTTATTAAAATTGAGATACAATCAGTGTTGTTTTTGGCAACCCTTTTAGTTTTAGTGTTAGTCTTTTGGACGAAAATGCTTTTAAGTTTTAGCCTCTTTTTTTTATTCACTTATAAACTTAATAGTGCAAAAAAAAAAGTATAACATGATAACTCTTTAACATTTTAGTTTAACAATAAGTAATAACTTAACAATATTAACAATAACTTCAGAAGCCTGCACAATATTGTCACCTAATAAAATTTACCTAAACTTTTAAGTACAAAAAATTTAAACAAACAGCGGCAATCCAAACAAACCTTGAAAATGTAAAATACTTACTGCTTATATTATATATTAAAAAATGATAAACTTAAAAGTTGCCTTGCATCTTTTTTGGATTAGCGTCACATGAGGTATAAAATACCTAATTTATACAATAATTGTATAAAATCTGAACATTTAGGGAAAAAAACATTAAGTGGGGAATAAATAAGAGACAATTGTAACACTAAATCTGGTAAAACTTTACACATTGCTCTTTGTATTGTACAATGAAAAAACAATATAACAAAAATCAAAAGGATTAATTATTATATAGTCTACTATAAAATTGAAACATGTTTAAAATGTATAGCACAGCTGTTTAATGAGGCAGCAACATATAATCGATAGGACAGAACAAAGGCTATTAATAATCTTTCATTGCGCAAAAGTATTATGATATGAAAGGCTCCAATACATCGCACAGCGCTGAAAGTTTACTGAAAGTTTAAGTGCCGCTTCCAGAGAACAGTCACGACATTGTTTTTTTTTTCCTCAAACACGAAAAATAAAACAAAATAAATATTTTATGTTCTGGGGAGAGCTAACCCTTCATCCGGTGGGCAGCCTAGTATTTCTTTTGGTTTGTACAGTGTAATTTACAGAATTATAAAAAATATAGGCTATATTTTTGCTACCTAAATATTAAAGATGTTTAGTGTTAAAGATGTTTTGTGTTGCGTCCGTGTACGCGTGTGTTTCATTCATACATAAAATGCAAGTGTAGACTTATATTTTTCTAATGTGTGGACGTACTGGATTTTATCAAGGGAGTAGGCTATGGATATATAAACAGAAGTGTCAGTATATTGGTATTAAATGCATTTTCTGAGAATGTATTATTTTGATGGATTTCAGTTTTGGCTAATTTAACCTCAACTAGTTTTGTGGTGTAGGTCTACATATTTTATAATGTTAACTTCAAATAATATAAATAGTAATTTAAAGATAGCATTGGATCTGGACTGGAAAGATAACTGGGAGGTGGAAGGGGTGTATCGCAATTCTGCCTTCTCACATCGCGATACA